TGAAAAAAAAACATGAAAAGGAAGTTTCAGGCATCAGAACACCTGATATTAGAGGAGATGATTAAAGCTGTAGTTACCAGATATGAGGACAAGATGGAGGAGATGAAAGGAGACACAGGGATGCCAAGATCACAGACAGAACTTTTCTCTAGAATAAAATCACAATGCTGTGAATCATTCAATTATCAACCTGCAAAGATGGCTGTGCAACAACAGCAAACCCAAAAAAGTCTATTGATAAACAACAAACCCAAAGAAAAAACAACAGAAAATAAAATTATATATATCAACTGAATTAATGAGTTAAGGTAGACCCAACCGCTTGCAATGCACTTTTCCTTTTTCTTCTCCCTATTGAGTCGACCAAGGCAAGGGGCACACAGATCTAAAACCATGGGAGAACATAGTCAGTACAAGCACAGTGAATTATATGGAGATCACTGAAGCAAGTTTTTTTCACATCTTATGTTCCACATGTATCATTAAGGTAAGTAGAATTGATAAAATCTGACTTTTAAACAAGAAATTATTTAGCACCAAACAGACAAAAGCCAAATAATGTTCTTTGCAAAACACATAAAACCAAATCTGTGATGCAGCAAGACACGTTTCTATGAAATGTGGCCTGTCTATAAAGCATTAAATTTCTTTAAAGGTCTGATTGAAACATAATGATAGACTAATGAAATGATAAGGCCAAATAAGGGTGAACAGGCCCAGTAAGGAGGTGGACGAGGCCAGTAAGGGGTGGACATGGCCAGGAAGGAGGTTAATGAGGCCAGTAAGGAGGTTGATGGGTCCAGTAAGAAGGTGGACGAGCCTAGTAAGGAGGTTGATGGGTCCAGTAAGGAGGTTGACGAGGCTGGTAAGGAGGTTGATGGGTCCAGTAAGGAGGTGGATGGGCACAGTAAGATGGACCCAGTAAGGAGGTGGACGAGCCAAGTAAGGAGGTGGATGGGCCCAGCAAGGAGGTGGACAGGCCCAGCAAGGAGGTGGACAGGCCCAGCAAGGTGGTGGCTTGGTCTAGTAAGGAGGTGGATGAGCCTAGTATCCTGAAATTGATTAAAGCCGAATAGAAAAGATGGCTAGATAAGAGTATATTTACAGAGAGACAGATGCCCGAATCTAATACCAACTGGCTTAGTGTGTGTGTGTGTGTGTGTGTGTGTGTGTGTGTGCGTGTGTGTGCGTGTGAGAGTGAGTGATGGGGAGAGGAATGAAAAGGGGGTTTAAAAACATATCATACACCAAACTGAACACAATGTGGTAACACTATAGACATTAGTTTCAAAAGTATTTATTTGATACAACAGGAGTGAGGGGTGAGGGGTGGTAGGTGAAACTGGAATTAATGTAGCCCATCATACTTTTAAAATAGCTCTAAGAACACTAAAACAACAGCTGAAAGATTGTTATGATACGGTCCACTTATATGTGTGCAAAGCATTAAAATGTCATGGCTTAATTAGTTTAATTAAAAACTCCCACAAGAAGGCAGCAGTTGGTGGAGTTATGATGGGATTCTGGGAGCAGATTATAACGATGGTGAGGAACTCTCACTGTATTTATGGCAAAATGAAAACTGTACTGACAGTGAAAATATATATCAAATGACCAGACTAAGTGTAGTTTTGACGTTTTTTTTTTTTTTTAATCTAAGAGCAATGCTTTGCACAGTATTTGGTATTATATATTATGTATGGTTGGTTTGTTTTGAAATAACAAAAGGCCTATTCAAAATGGATCTTTGACGAAAACATAGTTGTCTTTTAATCAAACTGAAATGACAGATAACTTGAACTTAAATTCACGCGGTATTTTTCTACATTCTTAGTATAGCTGAAGTAGAGAAGCTCCCAGTTTCCACCAAATTAGGTCATAATGGTAAATGGAGCAAAAACCAAAAAATCTTCCATACATATTACATAGCGTTAAAGAGAAGTCTGCCACACCTGACCCCCTGCGGTCTACGCCTGACACCCCAAGTCTAGTACCTACCCCCTGCAGGCTGTTTACCTGAAATTCCAACCACAATGTGTTAGTTCTTCACTGTGTTAATGTGAACTGGATGTACACATCAGAGTATTAACAAGGTAATACAGCAAGTGTGCTGATCTCTGTGGTTGTTAGCTTTTGGTTAAATCCACTTTTAGTGTTAAAAATGCATGGTACATTCATTTCTTATTTTAACTGCCTAAAATAGCTGGTGCTTTGAGTCCAGGATGTCAAACAAACATTCTGACATCTCCTTTGTTTAAGTCACGTTCAAATGTCAAAACCAGTCACAATTATGTTTTGATACTTTTTCATGTTAATCCCATGTAATGTTGCTTGGCTTTAAAATCTGTCACTGAAATATTGTTAATTTTGACATACCCTGTATACCATGGTATCAATGGTACATTAATTATATCATGTTGTGATGCATCAATCTATGAATATCCAAGGAACTGGCAGATTACTGGAATCTTCAGGATATGTTGGCAAAAACACCAAATGTAAGATGGCAAGTATTATTTTTAAAAAATACCCAAAATATTTAGTTGTACTGCTATCATTTCTAAAACAATACAGTCCTTGAACAAAGCATAGTGTGCTTTTTGTAATGTTGAGAGCACTATCAATAAGTTACAAGGATTGTCATCTGGATTCTCTCTCTCTCTCTCTCTCTCTCTCTCTCTCTCTCTCTCTCTCTCACACACACACACACACACACACACACACA